GAGAGGACGAGTCGGGTGGCCCCTGGCCCAGGAGTTTTTGACCCGGGGCCCCCCTTCGCAAACCCCCCTCCCCCAGAGCAGCTCTGGTTCAGCCGCCTCTCAAGTTTGGGCAGCCCGGGGTGTGGCTCTCAGGTCAGGCCTTAGGACTAGGGCATGTGGGGTTTCGCAAAAAATCCCATGCCAGTTGGCAATGCAATATTGACCATGTTACCTTGCCCGGTGCCAGCATTGCGAGCTCTTGGCTCTTAGCTTAGTGGATTGCAGGCATTTGAATCTCGCTCTTGTTTAACCGAAGGGAGTCACGCAACCAAAGTGGGCGCTTATAACCTTTCGGGCAAGGCGGTGTTAACATTTTAAGTCATCTCAGGTTTTCCTCAAAAGACTGCCTTGTACTAAAGCAGTCGTCCCCTTAAAAAGAGGTAGTGGGTTTTAGTTGAGAGTGCGAAACGTGTCCCAAGCAAGGTAAGGCAAAACCACCCTGAGCTTTGTGAGCTGGTTTTTTTTCAGCTGGCACCCTTCCTGGAAAACTGCCGTGCCAAGGACATTACCCCCGAAGGTATTCTAATCGCCGGATGCTTGGCTTGTACTTTGACTTTGCAGCAGGGACAGTGCAGTTTGTTTGATGTGGGCTGGTTCGTTTTTCCGAGGGCAAACAATCCGAGCTCAGAGAAAACATCAAGCGAACAAGGTATGTCAAATGGTTTGTGTGTGTGTGATTTGTGCGTTTGCGCGTGCACTTGTGTGCGTAGCTGCGTGTTTGTGCGTTTGGTCTTTGAGCGTGTTGCGTTCCAGCGTTTTTGTGTTGAGTGCTGTGTTTGTTTGTGCTTGTTTGTTTGCGTGCGCTTGTGTGTCTGTGTGTGTGTGCGGTTTGTGTTTGTGTTTGTGTGTGTGTGTGGAGTGGCAAAATACCCTGCCACCACTTCTCCGCAGGGGCAGGGGGACACAGCACTTCACTGGGACTGTGTCCAACGAAGCTACCAGTGAAGTGGGATATCCAGTTTGGCCAGCTGGACGTACCTGCATCAGTGATTCTGAAAGTCTATTTGGCCCCCTTGGTTGCGAGTCTGTTTGTGCTTCTTGTTGTTTCTGATAACGTTCTCGTCGCTAGAGGGAAACCGAGTGCATCGCGAGCCGAAACTTCACCCACTCGAGACTCGAGACTCATCGGTTGTACTCGACGGATTAGCGCTCTCCCTTGGGAGTTGAAGTGTGGTCACCCCATCTTGGGGGAACCTCGAATATACCCATCGTGTGACCCCGGGCCGGTTCGCCGGAAAATTTGACCTCAACATTCTTATCATAGTCCAGCGGAATTTCACGTTTAAGCAGGAACGAGGTTTCACTAAAAGGATGATAGCCACCAGATCATAGCTACGTTTCACCTTCCTCGCTTTCGTCGTCCGCGTGTCCGTCGTCTGGCTCTTCGCCCGTTTAGGGATGGCTTCCTCTTCCTCCCGGTCTCTTCTTTCTGGTTTTCGCGACCCGCGTGTTTGTCGTCCTTCTCTTCGCCCGCTTAGGGATGGCCTGTTTGTCCTCGCTGCGTTCATCTTTCTCCTCTCTTGTCTGTCTGTTCCTACTCCTCGTTTTCCTCGCGCTGTTTGGCTTGCCGCCTTCTTTCCCTTCCGTTGCTATTTCGTGTTCGTCTTCTTGGCCCCTTTGCGGGGTTCGACGCCCTCCTCTTCGAGCCTTGGCCTTCATCCTCTGTGTCTACTACCTCTCTCCTCCCCTCCCCCCTCTCCTTTCCTCCCTCTTCCTTCTTTTCTTCTTTTGTCTCCTTGTCTTCTGCTTCTCTTTTCTTTGCGCTTCTTTTCTCTCCTTTCTCCTCTCCCCGGGCGGGCTGCGGCGCCCTAAATACGCATCTCGGCCCCTTTGTCTTCTTTTCTCTCCTTCTTCTTCTTCTCTTTCCCTTTCCTTCCTTTCTCCTTTCCCCGGGCGGGCTGCGGCGCCCTAAATACGCATCTCACCCCTTTCTCTTCTTTTTTCTCTTTCTCGCTCTCTCTTTCTTTCTTTCCTTCTTTTTCTCCTCCCTCTTTTCCAACTACTTCCTGGTGTTCCTCTTCGCCCGTGTAGGGATGGCATGTTCGTGGTGTCGTTCTTCAACTTCGCGGTGCTCTTTTTCTACCAGGTTTAGGAGGGTTTCTGGGCTGTTTAGGGTTCTTTGCCCTTGGCGGTGACCCTAAACTCGGGTTCCCCTGTTTTTCGTGTTTCTTGGTGCTGGTTTTGCCCGCGGAGACCCAACGTGGGGCCTTTCTGTTCTTTTGTGTTCTTGCTCTGTTTGTTTTCTGTTGGGGTCTTCGCCCGGTTTGGGGCGCGTGTTTTCCCCCCCGAAAAAGTGATTCTCGCCCCTCTTTGAGGGGCGTGTGTGTGCGGAGTGGCAGAATACCCTGCCAGACACAGCACTTCACTGGGACTCTGTCCAACGAAGCTACCAGTGAAGTGGGATATCCAGCTTGGCCAGCTGGACGTACCTGCATCAGTGATTCTGAAAGTCTATTTGGCCCCCTTGGTTGCGACGCTGTTTGTGCTTCTTGTTCCTTCTGATAACGTTTTCGTCACTAGAGGGAAACCGAGTGCATCGCGAGCCGAAACTTCACCCACTCGAGACTCGAGACTCATCGGTTGTACTCGACGTATTAGCACTCTCCCTTGGGAGTTGAAGTGTGTGCGTGTTGGTGTGTTCGGGTGTGCTTGTGCGTTTGCTTGTTTGCTTGCTCGCTTGCCTGCCTTGCTTGTGTGTTTGTTTGTTTGTTTGTTTGTTTGTTTGTTTGTTTGTTTGTTTGTTTGTTTGTTTGTTTGTTTGTTTGTTTGTTCGTGTTCGCGAAAGAGGCTCCAGGCTGCTGTCAGGGGTACCTTTGGCCTGTGTACTGGTTTGTCACTTAGTTGTGGTTGTGTTGGTTTGCTGGTGCGTTGGAACCCCTGGGTTCGTTCAATCGTACCCACGCCTGGCACAGACACGTGCCCTTCATTTGCGTGGCTGTTGGCGCAGCCCCTGTTCCTTCCGGGTTTTCTTATGGGAGTCCCAAGGTTCGTGGCTTGTTAGCCTCAATATTGAAACCATCGATAGAGCATTCGTAGTTGACTGTGAGAGGTGGAAGTTTGGGATCTGCGCGAGAGCTGGCGGAAACGCCTGGATTTGTGAGCGCACTCCGTTTAGAAGACGTGGCCGTATGCTAGAGTCAGCTGCAAGTGGTACAGGGCTGCCAAGAATGCTTATTTGGGCGATGATGACAGTGACGGGTCAGGCCACGCGATTAGAAATGTGAGGGGGGCATTGAGGCTTGGTGTGCCAACATCACCTAATGAGGTAAGATACCTAACCTGACATAAGGGAATCCTCGGGGTAAGGAATCTTCATAGGTAAGCTTGCTTTAAATCACGGGAAAATTGTCGGGAGCTGCATGCTTGGCTGACACACACACACATCTCATTTGCGATGCATGCCGGTCAGCCGCTGAGAGCAATTATTGTTGTCCACATTTGTCCACATTCCCTAGGGTTGATAAACCCCTCCACTTGCCCCAAGTGAAAGGGTGTTTTGACCGTGGCACAAATGGGTGTTTATGGTCAGGGGACATGTGTTAGTGAAAACGTTGCTTCAAAAAACGGATCGTAATAGGACTGCACTATAAAGAGAAGACATGATTCAAGATTACGAAAAGTTGAATCACAAGATCCGGACGCACTCAGAAGTGAAGTCAGTCAGCGCGGAGAATCGCGAAGGGTACCGCTGTTCTGCGTGCGGGTTCGCCACGGTCTCGCCACGGCCTCGCCACGGTTTCGGAAAGCTGCCCACTGGCACGGCCGCGCAGACTGTTTCGGAGGTGCAAATCGCGTGGCAGGCGCAGCGCTTTGGCAACCTAAGGTGCAGATTTCGTGGCAGGTGCAGCATTTTCGCAAGGTCGAGTACAGATTTCGTGGCAGGCGCAGCAGTTTGGCAGCCTGCGGTGGTGCCCGTGCAAGGTCAAGTACAAATTTCGTGGCAGGCGCAGCACGTTCGCAAGGTCGAGTGCAGATTTCGTGGCAGGCGCAGCACTTTCGCAAGGTCAGGTGATAGATCGGTAGATAGATAGATAGATCAAATCGAAAGAGAGAGATAGAACAGAGACAGAGAAAGAGAAAGACAGAAAGCAAGAAATAAAGAGAAAGAGGAAAGAAATTCAGAAAGAAAGAGGACATAAATAAAAGATGGAAAGAACAAATAAAAAGAAAAGAAAGAAAAGAAAGAGAGATAGAAAGAGAGAAATACAGAGAAAGAAAGACAGAAAGATAGAAAGAAAGAGAAAGAGAAAGAAATAAATACATTCAGAAAGAATCAGCCAAGAACAAGAAATAGCAAACGAGAAAGAAAGAAAGAAAGAAAGAAAGAAAGAAAGAAAGAAAGAAAGAAAGAAAGAGAGCAAGAGAAAGAGAAATAAAGAAATAAACTCAGAAGAAAAAAGGAAAGAAAGAAAGACCGAAAAAGAAAAAGCGCAACCAAAAAAACAAGTCAAGCTCTTTTTATAGGCACTCTTCTCGCTTTAGAAACTTCCGCCCACCGGCTCTGCTGGTATAATGCTGTAAGTGCTTGCCATTGAGATATCCTAGAGCAGTGTTGAAACTGTGTTTAGGAAGAACAGAATAGCATACGGTAGCCCTTGGTGGTTTAGAAAACAACATTCTTCAGGCCCTTTCAAATTCAAGAACAATCGTCTCGCTGAGCCCGGCCAGCGTTCAAACACAGTGTTGGAAGCAAAGAATTGGATGTTCTCCCACGTGATGCAACACTAACTTGAGAACAAGACGGTCCACACACACACACACCCGCACAACACATAAAAGCTCACGCAGAGGCATACAACCGTAAAACACCCGCTCACTTGCAGGAACAGGCACTCACACAAACACAGACGTGTAAGTGTTTGTTCAAGGGCTTCATCCTTGTGGCTGACACCTTTGATGCGCACCACATTCATGGCGCAAGCGACATATACACACATAACGGCATAGAACAATCATACATAGATATAAAATATATAAATGCATATGTGAAAATATGTAGGCAAGGGAAAGAACTTGGGCGCACGAGGCAAGGCAGGTCAGTGTGCCCCGGAGTCAGGCAGGTCTCTTGCAAAACAACAAACGGATGCATTTTGCATTTTTTGCTAGGAGTCTCGAATTTCGACGCACGTGGCTCCAAGGAAGACAAAGTGCAAGATGGATCAGCCTCTCTGGCATTGCTTTTCCCCAGAGCCCGGGTGGCATCCGCATGTTGCCTTTGCGGAGCAACTGGGTCAGATACGATGACGATGGCACGTACGGCTACCCGACCTTCACTGTGAGGCCTGTGAAGTCCACATGCGGGTTGGAGGTGACTTGTTTAGTTCCTTTTTCTTGTCGGGGCTAGAGAAAGAGGGCCCCCCACTTGCTCATCCTCAACGAGGACGGGTGTTTTCAAAACGAATCGGCTCTGCAGTTGGCCAAGGTTTTGGCCGTAATCCAATTACATGCTCATGTTGACACTGGCCGGCTTTGCTGGAGACCCTGCCACAAGGAAAGGGCTGTCGATTTCTAAAAGGAAAGGGCTGTCGATTTCTACCACGTTAATTCCCTATCGCCCAATAAACGCCAAAATCTCAATGGAAAAGCTAGGGGGCCCCCGGTTTTTTGGATTGAAGAATTGGATGCCTTCGAAATGCAAAGCGGTCGGCGTAATACGGCTGTGGGTGGATCGATTCTAATATGTGTTTTTGGGGATTTGCTCTGGAAAAGAACCCTCTATTATGACCTAGAGTCCAGTGCATTGCTTCCCTTGGCACACGCAGCCAGGCATGGCGTTTTTGCGTTTGGCGCAGCAAGCGCTGCGCCTGTGCAGCGCTAGGTTCCTATGCTAAGGCTCCGGAAGTTACAATATGCATTTGGAAGCTTTGTAAAAACAAATCACGGCAAAAGCATCAGTTAGAATAAGCGTCCAGCAGCCAGAGATAGAACATGACATGTTGGCACGACTGGTTGGACAATGATGATGGTTCAACAAAGGGCAATGAAGCGAAAGGAAAGCGTGAAGGGAAACTGAATGGACATGAAACGGAGACCAAGGGATTTGAAGAAAAATTAAACGAAATGAAGGGAATGAAACGGCATAAGAAGAAATGAAGGGGAAAATAAGTGGAATGAAGAGGAAACAAACGGGAAACGAAGGGGGAAATCAACATTAAAATGGAGGGAGATGAAAGGAAGATTCGGACACGTAAAAGCGGAGATGCAGGGAAAGGATGTGAACGGAAATGGGAATTCCAAGGAGGTGACAGGGCAATGGCGGGAAATGAAGAGGAGTGACAGGAAATAGAAGGAACGCAAAGATTTCAAGCGAATGAAACAAGAACGAAAGGGATATGAAGCAAAACTAAAGAGGAAATGATAGAGAAATGGAAGGGATACACAAGGAAACGAAGGGATGAGAAAGGGATATGCAGGAAAATGAGTGGGAAGTGAAGGGAAATGTAAGGGTCTGGATATGAAAGGAAATGAAAGGAGTGTATGGGAAATGCAAGGAGCACGGAAGGAAATGAACGAACATGAAAGAGAAATAACCGGGAAATGAAGAGGAGATGAAAGGCAATACATTGGACACGAAGAAGAAATGAAGGGAGATGAAAGGGAAATCAAGGGACATGAAATGAAAATAAAGGGGGGGAAGCGAAAGGCAGTCAAAAAGAAAAGCAAGGACAATGAAGGAAAGGATTTGAAGGGAAAGGAAGAGCACATGAAGGGAAAATGAATGGAAAGGGGAGATCAAAAGATGTGAAGCGAAATCAAAGGAAAATGAAGGGAGCTACACGGGAAGCCAGAGGAAATGAAGGAAGGTCAGGGGAAATGAAAGGAACAGCGCTTCTGCTGCCTTGGCCCTTGGCAAGATGACTTTCAGCGCCAGCCAGTGAGTGAGTGAGTGAGTGGGTAAGTGGGTTTGTAGGTGGGTGGGTGGGTGAGTGAGTGAGTGACGTGAAGGGACATGAAGGGCGAGGGTGTGAGGGAGGTGAGGTGAGGTGAAGCGTGTGAGGGCGAGGTGAGACGAAGTGCCAGGTAAGGTGAGGTGTGAGTTGGAGGTTTCAGCCGAGGCGAGTGAGTTGAGGTTGAGGTTGAGGTTGAGGCTGAGTTGATTTGAGTGAGGGACAAAGTGAGGGAGGGATCCCTTTGCAGGAACGGGATATGTGTGGTGGACGCGATGCTCAAGGATGGGAGTTGGGCGTCCACCCTCGCCCAACTCCCTTCGAATTGCAGGCCGAGCAAGCAACTCAGCCAAATCTCACCTCGCAAAGTTCAGAGAAAATTGGAGACCCTATAGGCTCACGCATTGCTTGTTGGAAAGACGCATATATCTTGGGTTAACTTTTTGCTTGGGTGATGCTTATACAGGGGCATGTGTGGAGAACGACGTGGATCTTGAAGCAGCAACACGTCCAGTTTGCACGTGTTGGCATGTATTGTTTGGCGCGGCCCGCCAGAAGTGTTTCCCATCTAATCCGTTTCGGGTGAGCCATTGCAGCCCTAGATGTGTTGTCTCAAGGGCCAATATGATGCGGCCGCGAAGATGCAGCCTTACGGGTCTGTTGGAAATCGCACATCGGAGGGTAGCAGGCAAACTCAGAGATTGGGCGTTTGCGTGGTCAAGCTTCTTGCTAGCACAACCAAGCGGACACCCTTTCTTGGCGCTGGCCTGAGCCCCAGGCGCATTTAAACATGAACACATTGCCGCGGGTATCTAAGCTCCGATGCCTCCAACACCAAAACCTGAAAGTTGTTTTGATATGTCGGTCACAACCCCGTTCTTGGCGGATTTGTGCTATGTTTGGTGATATGTTGCTCCTGCCTGTGGCGCGACTCGCCCGACCGCTCCTGATGACATGTTTTGTTGTCATGCTTTGCCTGCCGTTGACTGAACGGTTCCCACATTTTCCTAAGGTTGGCCCATTCCATTTCAAGAGCTGCGGGCCCTATGTTTTGCAACCTCCGAGGAGCTTGATCTTCGCAGCCAACAATCATGACGGTGCAGCCCGTGTGGATGTACAAGTGCCGGGCGCAGTTAAACATATTAGGGGCTCAGCGCTGCTGGGACGCACTTGCGAAGAGTTGCCTTTCGCAACATGTGGGTGTTTTGGGAAGCCCCCCGTTCCCTTTAACATGCCGAAGGAACCCAACCATGTTGAGGTTTCTCCAGTGAGACATCTCCGTCATCAATTCGTTTCCCAGGCTGGGAAAGAAATGGTGTGTGTTCAGCCCATGCCTGCGAATCAGTTCTAGTTCCATCATTTTTCGCAGTGTTTGCTAATAATCTGAAATGCGGAAAACCCTCAGCGAAACGCAACAACAAAAGGCGGACAGTTTCATAAGCACGCCTCACGTGACGCAGGCATTTTCGCCTCTCACGTGGGCGTGGGTTGGTGCCGTTTGCGAGCGTTTTAGTGCACTGCACGGCGGATGCACGCAGGCGGCGGGCGTGGGTTCTTACCGTGCGAGTGTGTGTGTGTGTGTGTGCACTGCATGGGGGAACGCACCAGCATTATAGACAATCCGTAAAGCACTCAAATTATCCTTAAGAAAGCCTAAAAAATCCCAAGCAAACCCTAAACCAGCCCTGAGCCTAAAAACCTACCCCTTCTACAAACCCTATCCTACGGAAGCCCAAGCCCTGCCCAAACTCACCCTCTTAAACGATCCTCGAACCCTCCTTAAACTCAGTCTAAACCAAAGCTTCTGGTGAATTTTGAAAGCGACGCTGGGGATGTTGACGGTGCTGGTGTAAAACAAGCGCATTTTGTTAAGACATGTTAGGAAATTCGTCATTTTAGCCTGCAGAACCTAGGAAAATAAATGCTATCAGTCCTCAGCCTCACAAGGGTGCGAGATATCCTTACCAGTCTTGATGAGCCGCAGCAACATTTGGTCATGCTCAATTTGAATGCGGACCTCTTAGGCGAAATGCTTAAACCTGTGCTTCTTCCGGAGGCGTGGAAGTGTCTACCTCCAGTTTTGCAACAAGGCTGAAAAGAAAAGATCAGGCTTGATCATCTATTCGCAGTGCAACATATTGCCTTTAAACTCTTGGCAAAATGAATCTTGCCCCACTAACTGATCAGCGTGTGGAAAAAGTGAGCTGGACCACCGGAATTCAGTGAACAAAAAGATACACGTCGATCCCAGGAACCACGGTTGGGTGAGCCTGTCCAACATCATCTTCGCTCCCGGCTCTCTGGGGCACATCGCCTTGCCCTTGGTCAGTCCTTGGGTCGGCTATGGAGGAAGCTTCGGAACTCCGGACTACACAGCGCCTGAGCCCAACATGGCACAAGGAGCCAGGTTTTCTCTGAAAAAAAAGCCAAGTCGGAAGTGAATGAGAAGATTGAGCAACCAGACCGTGGGGCAATGCCTTGAAAGGGACGGCTAGTTTAAAGAGGTGCTGTTTCAAGCAGCATCCCATGGCCCGGTGGCTTTTTTTGCAGGTGTTCCGCCAAAAAACCTCCACTCTTTCAACTCACACAATGGTCTGGTGAGGAAACAGTACGTGGATGGCTTGCCCTCGTGTGAATTTCCATGTTGGGATTTTCTGCGCCGACGTTAGAGTGTTGGAGTTTGACCAGAGGTTTAAAGTTCCTATGGCTTCCTCAACAGCAAGGCACCTTGAAAAGCGGGCACCTTCAAATGGTCTTTTGTTGTTTTACGGTGGCCTTGAGAGTTGGCCTTGCCTTCCTATTCGGTCTTTCCTGCCCCATTTCGGTGGCCTTCCTGCCCATTTCGGTGGCACAGAGTTGTTTCGGTTGAGAGACATGCCTCTCGGTCAGTGAGAGGTTCCCAGGAGGTCAACGGGGAAATCTATGAACGTGATTTTCCTCGCCATTTTATCCAACCATTCATACGGACACGCTGATTATCCATTGGCACCGTGGCGTTCCAAAAAGACCCTGGATCAGGATTCTTTCTATTTCCCTTTTTGGTGGAGTGATATTAAAGGGGGGGATTTCCGGAACCCTGTTGGCATTCAGATTGGAATTGCAGCCGGTTTGAAAAAAAACACCTCTTGGTTTTCGACTCAAACTTAGTTTGCTCCTAGTGGTTCTTCGATGGTCCAGGAGTTGGCTAGGCAGTTTGTGAAATCCACAACTCCGATTATTTCTACTCTAAGCAGGCGTCCAAAGCGTGTTCAAGGCTCCTCCTCGCGGAGAAACAGTCGTCAGCCGACTTTGAGGTTAACATCACCGATCCCAGATCATCATCAAGTGATCGCATTCCGAGCCCAAATGCGACCATGCGCTTCGTTTCAGTTTCCTTTGATCATAACCCCAAACATGTTCTTTGTCTTGGGTGCCCCGCAAGGGACCCTTAGATTTGCATTTATTGTTGCGCATGCCCTTACCAGTGTTTCACTGTTCTTAGTATGATTTTGGCGTTTGGCTTTGGTCCGATTGTTTTGCTAAAAAATCAAGGTGGTTTTCTCACACCAGCTAGGTTCGATGTCATTTCTTAGGGCCTCCATCCCCCAGAATTCAAAACTTGCCGATTCCCAAAGTAGACTTCAACCCAAGATGCCATATCAACTCCTCAAGAGGCAGAAGGAGCCCCAAAAGGCCAGAAAGAAGAGCTTATTAAGGGCTTAACAAGGGCTTATTTGGGCTCCCTCCCCCTCCCCTCCCTCCCCGCCCAGCCCCCGTGAAAGATGCCATCAACTCCTCAGGCAGAAGTCAGAGCCTCAAGATCCGCGAGATCCGAGGTCCGCAACGGCGTGTGCTCGGTGGAGGGTATGATCAAAGGCGGCAACTGGGGCCACCTGGCCACTTTGCCGGAGGATTGCCGCCCCAGCAACTTGGCGAGATATACCGCGGCATTAAGGGGGGAGAGGGGGGGGGGGGGTGAGTTGAATGGCCAGACATTTCGAGGGCTGGAACACCCTCAACTGTTGGCGGTTGCCATGTAAATCTAATTGCCCTCCAAAGGCACCTATAAGTTTATTAAACGTAGAAACTGTGAGGCGCCTGGGGAAACGCCGAAATGGTCTTGCCAAGAAATTGGGACTACTTTGGACTTCCACCGCGCCGGGCCACGTAGGAGAATGTGTGTTGGAAAAGGATGGTCTGAAAAAGAAACCAGATGAAAGATCCTTAGTATCATGTCAAAAGGGGAAGCCGAAAGCAGAATGGAAGTAAACCAAAGCTTGGTTCATTGGCCAACTTTTTGCCTTTTTGGAATCCCAACAGGCGACCTGCATGGAAGGGAGCACGTGCACGCCACAACCACCATTCAATTAAGGATTTCAATATGGCCAAAGTATATTGGCCTCACCAAGGTTTTGGTTTGCGGCCAAAGCACCCATGGGACCTACGTGGGTTTCCTCCTCTTTCAGGTTGAATGATTATAGTTCAATTGTCCCATCACTTGCTTGGTTTGGGGTGGTGCGCTATCCGTTCAGGGTGTCATTATCTTTGCCCGCTTGGTGCATCTTCTCTTTGAAGCACCCAAGTGACTTTACAGTAACACTACGTGGCAAAGGTTTACAGCGGTTTGTTGGGTAGCCACTTAGCTAATCGGTGTATGAATGCAACATGCCCCGAACAAGTTCCTGCATTTCTCAGCTTGCTTCCTAGCTGTCTAGTTAGCTGGCTAAACCAAGTGGTGAACCTTGCCCGTTCGCCAGCTAGCTAATTGAGTAGCCAACCAGCTAAGTGACTAAACACATGCAACACATCGCAGGCTTTGTTGCATGAGCCACTCCTTCAATGCAAGACACGCAAGCAACATAAGCCCTTCCATTCTATTGTTTAATATGTTTTTTCAAAAGTTGCCGAGTTGTGAAAGCCGACCCTAAGTCCGCAGAGGGTTTGGCGAGGGAACCGACAAAGAAGCAGTTTTTTGCTTCTTGCTCCGCACAGCTCGCCAAACTGCGAAAATGCAGCATGCCCGCACTTTCCGATAGTTATCCCACCTATCGGTATGCTTCTATGCGCAAGCGAGCGGTGCAGGAAAAGGGCTTGACGCAAGGAGGCTGACACCATGCAGGAGCACTTTCTGATCAGAGTGAGAACCCTGCAAGCCCGCACTTATGCTTTTTGGTGGACCAGCGCCAGTTGGTGTAACCAAACGCCACTAACCAAATAAGCGATGGCACCTCAAGGAATCTGTGAACTGTTTGTGGGCCACCACTACAATCTTGAATCATGCCACACACATTGCCATTTGGCTCAAGCGATGCATGTATCTTTTCACAATTACCATTGTGGACAGTTACTACAAAGACGGAATGATCGAGCTTACGGGCAGGGCGCTGATTCAAGGATATTCGAACCCTCGCACCCTTTCCGAGGGGCAACACAACCAGTGTTGTCGGGGTACCAAAGAAACCCCTCGGTTTCTTGGGTTATCAGCCGTAGGGCTTGTCCCACGTGCTGTGAGACAAAGATTGGTTCGAAGCAAGAGGTCTTGAGCCCCGCTTCATATTGAATCAACCGATAGATATGTATATATATATATATATATTGCCAAGTGGTACAACACTTACGTGACAATGTCCAATGGGAGATCTTCGATCACATTCGCGGCACCTGCTGCCGGAATTTTATTTCACGGGACACCGGGATCAGCCGGCCATGGGAGTGGAGACTATCATTGTGAGTGCTGGACCCGCGGCAGACAGCGGGCAGAGTGATGCCGGCGTTGATCAGACCATGGGAGCAACGGCTTCCTCCCGGCCGAGAGTACCGTGAGAAGAAGATGATGGGCAGACACTAATCCGTAAATCTTGTAAGGGAGAGAGGTCATCCTCCCCAAGGGGTTCCCCAAGTGACCCCAGAAGTGCGGATCAGCAACTCGATGGTGATTTACAGAAAGCCCGAAGGAAGCGAAGGAAGGCGGAAATACAGATGAGCCAAGCTGCTGAGCAGCATGACGAGAACAATGTATTGAAGGAGGAATGTGCATCGTTGCGATCATCTGTAAAGGACCTATACAATCCGAGGAGGCGGGAAGCCTGCGAAGGATTCTGGGACTCGAGAGAATGAAGCATACACTGGAATCCCAAGTTCATGGGAGGATGAAAGATGAATACAACTTGGCGATGGACCAACTGAACATCAGGGTGAGTAGGCTGAATGACCTTGAGGCAATTGCCTATGATTTCAACAACGAGACTCAACAGTTACGAACGGAGAACAGTGAGTCTCAGCTTCGTTACGGAAAGCGACCTAAGCCACCAGTGAGTTTAAATCCATGGCCAACGCTGGTACCGATTTACGGAGCAGAGAGGCTATGAAACAAGAAGAGTCGACTATGCTTATGCAGGCCAAGTGGAGATGTACAACAGCAACATAGTCACCAACAAAGATGGACAAATCCAAACCTTGCGGGATCAGATACAACACCTGTCGTTCCGATCTGCCGAGAAGCTGGCCGATCAGAAGGTTGAGGCTATGAAGCTTCAAGTCACCAGTGAGGCGAGAATGCAACTAAGCGCTGTTGAGAACAAAGCCAGGCTGGAAGTTGATCAACTAAGGAGCCATTTGAACCGAGAAGAGACAGCGGCCTCCAATCTGAGGAGTGAGTTCTCCGAAGCCAGAAAGGAGAATCACGGCGTGCCGGTCTCTACCGAAGTGGCGGAGGAGCAAGCTGAACTGATGAAGAAGAACATGAAATGGGTCGAGAGTATGGCTCAGAGTCAGTACAGTGCTCTTCAGGAACAATACGAGCCTATGCAGCAATTTAATGACAATCTTCAATGAGAAGAGCATGGGGAGTCTGAAGTCCAAGTACTTGGCTGCCAGGCACAGTGAGAGAAAGGCAGAACGAAGCCAGGGAGTCATTGATTAAGGCTCGAAAGGCAGAATCCATAGCTCAGAATCGGGATGAAGAATCAGAACAACTGCGTAGCACCTGTGACAGAAACCACAGGAACGAGGTACAGGATGAACTTGATGATTTGACCGAACGGTACGATGAGCTAGTCAAAGTCCAATCCGTTACACTGCCCAAGTTTTTGGATGTGTCTTCCGTCAAGCCGACTACCTCTTCCGATGCGGCTACTGACACTAAGATTTCGAGAAACGAAGCAGAGACGAACAGCGTCCCTTCATGGCCGAAGATCGATTAACTGTCGAACGTTCTGGCAGGATGCGGTGATCCCGATAGAGGAAGTTTGGTCAGCGTGGCTTGCAGAGGCCTTCAGCCCTAAAGCCAGTATCGAGGGTCTGTCCGATAGTGGCGGCCCGAGATTCGCTGGTGTTGACAGCAAATTGGTGATAAGCATGGATAAGATGATCAAATCCGCTGGAGATCAGGCAAGTGAAGTTGCGCTTGAGGTCCAGCAGCAAATCGCAAAGCTGATCAAAGTCGGAAAGGGCATCAAAGGGAGATAAATGATATTTACGGTGTTGGAGAGCTTTCGAACATACGGCAGACTCGACCTTGTTTTTGGGGGGGAACACTTGTACAAATTGACATACCCGGTGACAAGAAGATGGGAGATTTCAAGCAACGATGGCTCGAAATCATTGCTGGGATCAAACCGGAGTCTGTTCCGCAAGAGGATGAGTTGAGAGACACTCTGTACCGCAAGCTGAAAGGGAACTCGGAGGGAATTGGAGTTGGATTTGAAATTGTATGAGTGCATGGAACGAAGTGATCCCGCGAAGACGCATAAGTATTTGCTCAACATGATTGATCGACGGGTTCACCAAGGAGGAGAAGAACTGGGCAAATAAGGAGAAGTCGCTCTTGGATCACAGATTGGGCAATGCACTTCCCTCTCCCAAGGAAAAGGCGAGGCCCAAACCGAAGGCAAAGTCAGAAGCGAAGGATGCCCAGGATTCGGCACCGGCTCTTCCCGACAAGAAACCAAAGGAGAAGCTAGAGATTCTTTCCCTGTGGAAGCAAGAAGATTGCATGTCAGTTTCATTTCTTTCGTGGGAAGTGCACGAAGGGCTCCGACTGCAAAGACAGCCGTCAGAAGAGTACTTACACACCTGAATGGAAGAAGAAGTTTGAAGAAGGTCCCAAGCAGGGAACGCCCCAAGAACGATGGTATTTGCTCGTTCTGGAAGAAGGGAAAGGACTGCAAGTTCAAGCGTCCGAAGAACTCAGCGCCGGCGGAAAAGTGTTCCGAAACTGAAAGCGAAGCGGGATCCGAGAAGAAGAAAAAGAAGAAGAAGGCGAAGGCAGCGCCGGTGATATCCACAGGTTCATTGTGGGAGAACTCCGAGAGTGAAGCGGAGCCGGCCTGTAGTGAAGAGGATATTGTGGATAGCGATGCTGAGACCAAATGCGCACCCGCAACCCCGAAAGCCAAGCTGTACTATCCCAAGAAAGGGGGAAAGAAAACAAAGAGCGTGGTGTTCCGGGATTGGGTTGAATACGCCGATGGTGATGTGAGCAACCAAGAGTTTCCCGAAAGATATCGCAGCGACGATCATGGGAAGAAACGTGTCAGCACTGAGCATGCAAAGGAAGATCAATACCAAGAAAGCAGAATTGCTGCTATCAGGGCTGCGAAAGCTGGTGAACTGTGGGAGAACCTTGCGATTCGCAGACTTCTATCAGAGTACCTCTCCATCGATGAATCCACGATGGAGATAGTTCCCATAGGTGACAACCATGAGAAGATGGACTACGTGGACAGATCTAGCAAGAAAGGAAGGGGATGGACCTGCAATCGGTGATTTCGAATCTATGAGGGAAACCCAACATGCAATAGCCATGGTGGTGAAGTCGGGTAAGCCCAAAAGGATGAAATGGCCAATGGACACCGGATGCGGGCACGATCTGATAGGATTGAAAGTGGTGAACAATCTAAGTCTCAATCCTAGGGAGACGAAAG